TCAGGGTAATACTAGCTTCTAGGAATGACTTTGGGAGTACTCCTTGATTTTCAATTTCACAAAACAGTTTGAAGAATATTAGCATTTCATCTTCCCTAAAATTCTTATCGAATTTGGCAGTGAATCCATCAGGAACTGGGCTTTTCTTAGTTGGTTGTTTTTAAATTTCTACTTCAGTTTCATTGCTTGTTATTGGATTGTTCAAGTTTTATATTATTTTTGTTCTTTTTTGGAAATTCATATATATCTAGTTACTGATTCATTTCTTCTAAATTCTCCAACTTATTAGAGTATAGTTTCTCAAATTGGTTACTAATAATCTAGATTTCATCAGTGTCCATTGTGATTTCACCTTTTTTATTTCTAATGGCATGATTTGGGTCTTTCCCTTTTTGGTAAGATTTGCTAGGGGTTTGTCAGTGTTTGTTTATTCTTTCAAAGAACCAGCTCTTCAATTCATTGATTTTTTTGTATCTTTCTCTTAGTCTCCATTGCATTGATTTCTGTTACTATCTTTATAATTTCCTTTTTTGTACTAATTTTGGATTTTGATTGTTATTGTTTTTGAAGTGTATCATTAGGTTTTTTTATTTGGACTTGCTCTGTTTTTCTAATGTGGCCATTCATGGGTATAAACTTCCCTCTTAGAACTGCTTTCATTATTTCTTATAGGTTCTGGTATGTTGTACTGGTATTATCATTTAATTCTAACAAATATCTTACTTTCTCTTTGATATTTTTTTCTGTGACCCATTGATTATTCAAGAGAGTGTTAATTTCCATGTGTTTGCATAATTTATGTTTATGTTTGCATTATTTGTGTTTATTATTATGTTTATAATTTATTCTTTTGCCACAGATTTCTAGTTTCATTGCACTATGATCAATAATATGCATGGGATAATTTTGATTCTTTTGCATTTACTTACGCATGCTTTATGAACTAGCATATAATCCATTTTGGAGAAAGTCCCATGTGCTGCTGAGCAGAAGATATTGTGTTGTAGATATTTATTAAGACCATTTGTTCACTGTTATTCTCTAATTATTTTGCTATAAAATTTTATCTTATTTTTCACAGAAGACTCTTTTTATATTTTCTTTATTAATATCTACTTGTATTACTTTAAAATTTAAAAAATTGGTTCAACTCTGATTTTTTTGTTCTTGATTTTTTTGTCTAGTTGATTTCCATGGTAAATTAACTTTCTAATTTAGTAAACTTCTTATAAATTACTGTGTGCTTCAATATGAGAAACTATGCTCTGTAGTAACGTTCAGAGTAGTGCAAAAGAGATAGAGATAATCTGTGCTTCAAAGAATACACAGGGAGATGCAGTGAAGACAAATCATGCTTCCCTTTCCAAGGACTCTTTCAGAAGTGTTGCTGACCTGTAGAGAAAGAGCACAGTTAGTTGTCTTAATGAAAGAAAAATCAGATCAGGATGCTTTCTCCAAGAGAACTACAAGAGTAGTGGCTACTAAACTATGACTTTCTGCAAGAGGAATCTATGAACAGTAAAACAAAGATAAAACCACTACAATGAAGCGAAGAGTTGGTTTTTTGAAAGAATAAATAAAATCAATAAACCTTTAGCCAACCTTATCGAAAAAAGGAAAGAAAAGGTACAAATACATGCAATTAAGAATGAAAAAGGTGAAGTCACAACAGATCCAATGCAAATCCAGAAGATCATCAATACCTACTTTGAGAACCTGTACTCCAATAAAATGGAAAACACAGAAGAAATGGGCAGATTCCTAGATAAATATGAATTGCCAAAGTTAAATGAAGAAGATATAGAAATTGTAAACACCCCAATTACAATGAGTGAAATTGAAAATGTAATAAAAAATTTACCAACAAAGAAAAGCCCAGGTCCTGATGGCTTCACTGCTGAATTCTACAAGACATTTAAAGAAGAACTACTGCC